ATATATTTATTTTATATTATATATTTTAATTTATAATACATATAATAAAATATCATATAATTTTATTTAGTAGAGCAAATATATTTAAGTACTAGAGCAATTATATATATAACAATAAATATATATTGTTGCTATATATTCAATGGAGGTCAATTTTCCATATGATGATATTAACGTGATCAAAGCTGCATGTTAGAGAACTTCTTATGCTCATTGATGAGACACAAATCACTGATCCCATCACTTCCTGTATGATGCTTCTGTGGTTACCAAATTATCACAGAGTTGAACATGAAATAATATAATAAAAAATATAAATAAATAAAATAATATATATGTATAATAACATGTATTAAATAAATAAAATAATAAATAAAATAAAATAATAAATAAAATAATATATGTTTATAATAACATATAATAAATAATATAAATAAAAATACATTCATAATATATAGAAAAAATGATATGAATAAATGAAATACAATATATTTATAATATATAATAAATAACATAAATGAATAAAATATTAAACATTTATAATAATATATAATAAATAATGTAAATAAATAAAATAATATATATTTTATATTTATGTCATGTAGGCTTACTGCAGTGGTCTTTAGGTGTTTTCCAGCACATTTAAGATAAGTCACATTTCTTGCAGGCGTGTATAGGAGTTTCATGCATTCATTTTCACATATCTGCCCCAAACACACTTCTTGGTACATGTGTGTTTGTAAAAAAAAAATAAGACAATGGCTGGGTAGTCCCATATTTTAAATATTCTGTTGAAACTTTTTGTAGGTGTCCAGCTTTTTAATGTGGTTTCTTGGCTTAGAATCACTTAATGGACTAATTATAACTTGGTGTTGTGAACCTGAATATGAGATGGAAAATTGATCACACAGATTTGAAAGAGTCCTATTAACCAGAAGTGTTTAAATCACAGCCATATCCTCTGACATTCACACCTTATATTTATTCAAGAGAATATATCAAGAAAATGCACGCTCCAAGAAATATTAGCATTGTCATGATGCTGCTGCACGTGAATAATATTTTGACCAATCTGTGTCCCCAAATGGCCTGCCATGTGTTTTGTATGTTTCTCTCATGTAGCATTTGAAAACATACTTAGGCCTGTAATTTATCATCATATATAGCTCCTAACAGCTCCCTTAGTGATGGGCGTGAGAAGACACAGCATCAGGGACACAGACACCGAGAGTTTGTTGAAGGCAAACAGCAGAATCATTTATTCAGTAACAGGGAAGGCCTTATATGCTCTCCTCCCAGCACCCAAGCTGTGTCCTGATCTGGTGACATTGTGAGGTCATCCCTCATTGGCTGGGCATGATCAGCAACTCTGATAGTGCCTGTTACTAGGTGCCCAGGCAGACTCTGCATGATCAGGAACTGTGAATTGACTAGGAAATCTGATGACGACTGTTGCTAGGTCCTCAGGCAGACTCAAGTTTGGCTCTCAAGAAGTAAGGTACTTGCATTCCTTGGCTATTGGTCTGAGACAATTTCCTCAACCCTGTGGGCCTTTAGATTGTGAATTGTTAAATCTTGTCAGTGTAGCATATGCAACACTTAAGCAGATGTGTTTGTCATCTTTAAAGATTCATTACTCATGATGTTTCTTCACTATTCCTAGAAATAAAGTGATTGCAGCTCCTCAGTCAATTTTATTTTTCTGTTTACATGTCATACATGATAAATAGAAGAGACTATACAATGCTATGAACTTTAAAATACATATGGATGTTTTCTTAATGATTTCAGGTATAGTTTTTGTTTTACTGATGTTTTAATGCTTCTTCCTTGTTTGTGTTATTGTAACAGTTTTCCCATAATATACTTGTTTATTTTCTCTGGATAGAATATTTTTTATTAAATGGTTATTTTGTTTATTATATTGAATTCTGACAGAGATTTTTATTTTACTTTAACACACCAAATCAGGAGCTTCATTGAGGACAGGTGTCTGTGAAGTATAAGATATACAAAGTAAAGATGTCATTCATTTACTCAGTAATTTTTACTTCAGTTTTTCAGGAATGGAAATGGAAATCAAGAAATTTCATTATTTTCTCTTCTTTTAGAACAATGTTCTAGTTGCAAAACACAATTATTTTCCATTTTTGAGGATATCTCATATATTTTCTCTTGGGATTCCAAATGAAACAGTGGTTCTCACATAGATGTCCCATAATTCTTTTGTGAGGCTAGTTTATTTTGCTACATTAAACATAAGAAATAAAAAGAGATAACCATTAGAAGTATGACTGTTTCTGAATTTTGGATCACCCAAATTTATTGTCTAGACCTATATAAATTCATTGATTTTTAAATTTAGTTTCTTGAGTGTTCTGTGAATTTGAGGGAAATACGTTTTGTTCGTATGTCCACTCAGACAGATTCACCACCCCTTTTCTTCTTAATCAGTACACACATACACAACAAACAAACACACACACACACACACACACACACACACATTTCTTTTTTAATAACCTATCAACTCTGATTTGTGCTGATGATATTTTAATGGATGTGAAGCTTTCCGCCTCAGAGCAGTCAATCTATCAGAGTTTTTATCAATCATTCCCTTTTAGAATACTTTTTGCAAAATATACTCATGCCAATCTCTTATTTGATATTTAGAAATTAAATAAAACCAAAATTCTCACCTCATTAAAGTCTAATATCCAAAATATACATACTGAACAAAAGAAGTGAAATAAAATTTTCACCTAATAAAATTTATAATCAAAAATATACATATGGAACAGAAAAAATCTGATAAATCAAACAAAAATTCTCATCAGATAATGGTCTAATATCCAAAATATACATCTTGAATATAATTAGACAATTAAAAATTGTCATCTGATAAAGGTCTAATATCAAATATGTATTTATTTAACCCTAGAAATTAAATAAAAATTTTACCTGATATCAAAAGTATACAAATTGATAACAAGTAATCAGAAAAGCGAAAATTGCACATGTGAAAAAATTCAAATATCCAAAACCTTCTTATTGAACACAAGAAATTCAGTAAAAAAAATTCTCATCTGATAAAAGTCTAATATCCAAAATATACATTTGGAACACTGAAATCAGATAAATAAAACAAAAATTATTATATAAAAATGTCTAATATCCCAAATATACTCATTGAACACAAGAAAGCAGACAATTAAACAAATATTCTCAACTTATAAAATTCTAAATACAAAATGAATATATTGAACAATGAAATTACAAAACCAAAATTCATACCGGTAGCACTAATATCCAAAATATACACACTGAACACAAAAATCAGATAAATAAAACAAAAATTCTTATCTGATAAAGTATTAATATCCCCTATGGATACATTCAACCCAAGAAAATATATAAATAAGAACAAATTCTCATCTGATAAAGGAATAATATATAAAGATACACATTGATCACAACAAATCAGATAATTAAAATAAAATTATCAACTGATCAAGGTCTAATACAAATAATTATACATATTAAACACAATAAATTAAATAAAATAAAATTGTCCTCTGATAAATATTTTATATTCAAAATATATATTTTGAACACAAAAAAATCAGTTGAAAAAACAAATATTATTATCTGATAAAGGTCTAATAGCCAAAATATGCATATTGGACACAAGAAACCAGATAAATAAAATAAAAATTGCCATCCAATAAAAGTCTAATATCAATAATATACAGTTGAACACAAGAAAGTAGAGAAACAAAATTCTTTCCAGTAGGTCTAATATTCAAAATATATATATTGAACAAATGAAATCAGATAAATAAAACAAAAATCATCTGATATAGGTTAATTATCCAAAAAAAAAATATATATATATATATATTCCACATAATTAGATAAATGAAACAAAAATTTCATCTAATAAAGGTCTAATATCAAAAATATGCATATTGAACGCAAGAAGTTAAATAACACCAAATTCTCACCTGATAAATGTCCAAATCCAAAGTATAAATATTGATATCTAGAAATCAAATAAATAATACAAAATTTCTCATCTGATAAAGGTCTAATAAAGAAAAAATTTACATATTGAACACAAGAAATCAGAGAAATAAAACATATTCTCATCTGATGAAGGTCTATTATGCAAAATATACATATTGGACACAAGAAATCAGATAAATAAAAGAAAAATTCTCATGTGATAAAGGTCTAATATCAACAATATAAATATTGATCCCAAGAAACAGGATAAGTAAGAGAAAAATATCATCTGACAAAGGTCTATTATTAAAAATATATATTGAACATAATTTGATAAACAAAACAAAAATTTTCTGATGATAAAAGTAAAATTCAAAAACTCCATGTTGAATACAACAAATCAGATTAACAATAGTTCTCATCTGATAAATGTCTAATATCCAAAATATACATATAGAAAACCAGAAATCAGATAAATAAAAGAGAAATTCAAATCTGGTAAAATCTAATATCCAAAATATATATATTGAAGGTAATTAGATAAATAAAACAAAAATTCTCATCTGATAAATGTGTAATACCAAAAATAGACACATGGAACCCAAGAGGTTAGATAAAACAGTAATTCTAACTGGTAGAGTTGTAATAACCAGAATATACATATTGAACACAAATCAGATAAATAAAACAAAAAATATCATCGGATTATGGTCTAATATCCAAAATATACAAATTGAACATAATGAGATAAAACAAAAAATCTCGTCTGAATACGATCTAATATCAAAAATATACACATTGAACACAAAAATTAAATAAAAAAGTCCCATTTGAAAAAAGACTAATATCAAAAATACACATATTGAACACCAGATTATCAGATAAATAAAACAAAAATTCCCATCTGATAAAGGTCTGTTATAAAAAATATACATATTCAACCTAATTAGGTAAATAGAACAAAAATTATCTTCTGATAAATTCTAATAACTTAATCATGCATATTGAATACAAAATTTAAATAAAACAAAAATTATCATCAGGTAAATCTGTAATATGCAAAATATACATATTGAACAAAAGAATTCAGAAAAAAATAAAAATTCTCATGTGATGAATGTCCAATATCAAAAATATACTTTTGAACACAAGAAATTGAATCAACCAAAAAATTCTCATCTGAAAAGTGTCAAATATCCAATATATACATAGTAAAATCAGGAAATCAGATCAATAAAACAAAATTTCTCATCTGATAAAGGTCTGATATCCTATAAAATGTTCATATTAAATTCAAGAAATCAGATAAATAAAACAAGTATTCTCATCTGATAAAGGTGAGAATTTCATATGCTCAATAAGTATATCAGAAATATATACAGAAGTATATCAGAAATATACTTATTGAGCATATGAAATTAAATAAAACAAAAATTCTCATCTGATAAAGTCTAATATCCAAAATTACATATTGAACAGAAGAAACTAGATAAATAAAAGAAAGTTTTTCATCTGATAATGGACTAATATCAAAATTGCACATATTGAACACTATTAGGTAAATAAAAAATTATTCTGTTAGAAGTCTAATATCCAATATATACATATAGAACATAATTAGTTAAATAAAACAAAATTCTTATCTGTTAAAAGTTTAATATCCAAAATAAACTTATTGAAGACAAGAAATCAGAAAAACAAAACAAAAATTCTTATGTGATAAAGATCTAATCTTCAAAATATATATATTGAACTCAAGAAATCAGAAAAGTAAAACAAAAATTGTGATATGAGAAAGTTCTAATATCCAAAACATACATATTAAACAAAAAAAATCAGCTAAATAAAACAAAAATTCTTATCTGGTAAAGCTCTAATATCCAAAATATAAACACTAAAACCAAGAAATCAGAAAAACAAAAGAAAAATTCTCATCTGATGATGATCTAATATCCAAAATACACATATTGAAAACAATTAGATGAATAAAAAAAATCTCATCTGATCAAGGTCTAATATCCTACATAACATATTGAACACAAAAGTCAGATAAATCAATAAAAAATTCTCCTGTGATAAAGATATAATACCATAAATATATATTTTGAACACAAGAAATTAACCAAAATTAAAAACTCTTGAATATATGATATCCCAAATATACATACTGAACTCAAGGAATTAAATAAAACAAAAATTCTCTCCTGATAAAGGTTTAATATCCAGCATATATCTATTGAACCTAAAAGATCAGATAAATAAAACAAAAATTATCATCTGATAAAGGTCTAATATCCAAAAAATTTATATTGAACACAAGAAATCAGAAAAAGAAATCAAAATTCTTATGTGATATATGTCAAATGTCAAAAATATATTTTTTCAACTTAAGAAAATAAAGCAAAAATTCTCTTCTGATAAAGGTATATATATATATATATAATTTATTAATTTATTATGTATAAAGCATATGTGACTGCAGGCCAGAAGAGGGCACCAGGTCTCATTACAGGTGGTTGTGAGCCACCATGTGGTTGCTGGGAACTGAACTCAGGATCTCTGGAAGAACAGTCAGTGCTCTTAACATCTGAGCCATCTCTCCAGACAAGAAATCAGACAAAAAAACAAAACCTCACCTGATAAAAGTTCTAATATCCAAAATATACATACTGAACTCTGAAACCAGATAAATAAAGCAAAAATTGTCATTTCGTTAAGGTTTAATAGCAAAATTATACACCTTGAACACAAGAAATCAGAAAAACCAAACAAAATTCTCATGTGATAAAGGTCAAATATCAAAAATAAACTTGTACACAAAAAATTTAGTAAAACAAAAAATTATCATCTGATAAATGTCTAATATCCAAAATATACATATTGAACAATAGCACTCAGATAAATATTCCAAAAATTCTCATCTGATAAAGGTCAAGTATCCAAATATACATATTGAACACAAAAACTAATATAAAGGTCTAATATCCAAAATATACATATTGAACAATAGCACTCAGATAAATATTCCAAAAATTCTCATCTGATAAAGGTCAAGTTTCAAAAATATGCATATTGAAGATGAGATATCAGAAATTTAAAACAAAAATTGTCATCAGAAAAAATTCTAATGTCCAAAATACACATATTGATCACAAGAAATCAGAAATATAAAACAAATATTACCAACTACTATAGGTCCAATATCCAAAATATACAAATTGAATCCAAGTAATCAGAAAATAAAACTAAATTTTCTAATATCCAAAATATTCATATTGAAAATGATTAGATAAATAAAATAAAATTTTCATCTGATAAATATACATATGGAACAAAAGATATCACATCAAATAAACAAGAAATCAGATAAATAAAATAAAAATTCTCATCAGATAATAGTGTAATATCCAAAACCTATGAACATAATTAGATAGATAAAAAAATATTCTTAGCTGATGAAGTTCTAATATCAAAAACAGCAGTCTAGTCATGCTTTGTTTTACATCTAGTATCCTCCTATGAGTGAGTATATATCATGTTTGTCTTTCTAAGTGTGGGTTACCTCACTCGGGATGATTTTTTTCTAGATCTATCCATTTGCCTGAAAACCTCATGATGTCATTGTTTTTCTCTGCTGAGTAGTACTCCATTGTGTATATGTACCACATTTTATTTATCCATTCTCAAGTTGAAGGGCATCTAGGCTGTTTCCAGGTTCTGGCTATTACAAACAATGCTGCTATGAATGTAGCTGAGCATGTGCCCTTTTGGTATAATTGAGCATTCCTTGAGTATATGCCCAAGAGTGGTAAAGCTGGGTCTTGGGGAAAATTGATTTCCAATTTTTTGAGAAAGCACAATATTGATTTCCAAAGTGGTTGTACAAGCTTGCATTCCCACCAACAGTGGAGGAGAGTTCCCCTTGCTCCACATCCTCTCCACCATAAGCTGTCTTCAGTGTTTTTGATCTTAGCCATTCTGACAGGTGTAAGGTGGTATCTCAGAGACGTTTTGATTTGCATTTCTTTCCCTGATGATTAGAGATGTTGAACACAACTCCAGGGAGGCTACCTAGAAAACAGGATCCTAAGAAAGACACAGGGAATCACCCAATGACAGAGAAATGGAAGAGATCTACATGAGCAAACTGGACATGTGGGTGTTAATGAAGGGCAAGGGTTGGGGGGAACGAGAGCTTAGGGAAGCAGGAGATCCCAACTGGACGAAGAACAGAGAGGGAGAACAAGGAAAGAGAGACCATTATAAATGAAGTGCCCATGGCAATAGGAAGAAGTAAAGTGCTAGAGATGTCCCCAGACATCCATAAAGATACCTCCACTGTAGACTACTGGCAATTGTTGAGAGAAAGCCCAAACTGACCTCCTCTGGTGATTGGATGGTTTAACTCCCTAAATGTCATCATAGAACTCACATCCAATGACTGATGGAAGTGGATGCAGAGATCCACCGCCAAGAACCAGGTGGAGCTCCATGAGTCATATTAGTGAGAGAGAGAAGGGATTCTGTGAGCAAGAGACATTTAGACCATGATTGGAAAAAGCACAGGGACAAATAGCCAAACTAGTTGAAACAAATGAACCATGAACCATAGCTGAGGAATCCCCATATTACTGGACCAGACCCTTTGGGTAAGTGAGACAATTAGCTTGAAGTGTTTGGGAGGATCCCAGACAATGGGACCAGCATCTGTCCTTAGTGCATGAACTGGCTTTTTGAAGCCTGGGGCCTATGCTGGGATACTTTGCTTTGCCTGGGTGAAGGGAGGAGGGGACTGGACCTGCCTTGACTGAATCTGCCAGGTTGAGCTGAATCCCCAGGGGGTCTTTGCCCTGGAGGAGATGGGAATGAGGGGGGGGGTGGGCATTAAGAGGGGGGGCAGAGGAGGGAGGACAGGGGAATACATGGCTGATATGTAAAATTAAGTTAATTATAAAATTGAAAAATAAACAAAAAAATGAAGTGCTTCTCTCACTTAAGTGCTAAAAAAATCCGTATTTGCAAGCTTTCCTGACTCTGATTTCTGCACCCAGCATGTAACAGGATCCTCTTAAATTCTGACTTTTTCAATGGAAAAAATTTTACAACTCCGAAACATAATCTGTCACAGTAGTTTATTAAAAACAAATTTCCCCCATTTAAATTGGGGCAGTTCAATTACACTCAAACAAACAAACCTTCAAATAAGAATAGCAACAGAGAAGAAAATATTAATAGATGGACTCAACATGTAATACATGAGTTCTATCTAGTAAGTAATACAAAATCATTTATGTACTTCTATTACAATACACCAATGGGCACAAGAGGCATATATTTGTTGTTAGATTAGCCCAGAAAGAATCAGAATTCTGAGACTGGAACAGGCAAACAACTCTATATTTAGGATCAAACATGTTGATTTCTACCTCCCCTCTCCATCTTCATTGCTTTTACCATCTGAAAGTGGTAAATCAATAAAGAATAGCCAGCTGGTGAGTCGTTCCAAATGGCAAAGGACAGGAGCCACGCACAATATTTGATAACAGTCATGAAGAGAAGTTTTAATGATTTTTTTTAATCAAATGAAGTGATTATCTGCTATAAAGCTTCATTTTCAGCATTTTTGTTAAGTTCAGGATGTGATTTCTCTGTTCCCAGAGAGAGATATTCACCAGAAAGAGATGTGCAGCTTAGCTATTATAAATGCTAGCTCATCATCCCCACCCCCAAAATATGCAAACAAACAAACAAACATATTCATACTTATGAAGGAAGGGATTTTATAAGTCATGCCTTGTGACAGCACACATCTCCATGGTGCATCCCAACCCATCTTTCTTTAGGTAGAAGAAACTAACATGAAGACAGGCTAAATTGCCAAGACATAACCAAGAATTTCTGAGTGTTCCAGCTGTCCTGCCCCTGTTTTGTACTCTGTTCCTCATACCAGCATTCTAAACCTGTACCTGTGGTTATATCAGAACTTATTCTCCTAGGATAACCTTTCATGTAGCACAAAACTGCCTCTTTCATGTTCTAGGAGGAGAAGGAAAAAAATCAACATGACTTTTCACATCTGATAGCATCTATTTACATTTAAAGGAAGACATTTTTCAAAGATCTGTTTACAGAAGCCTCAATGGAGAGCCACAGAAGTTAGACAGGAACCTAGAAGTCCTCACAGGAATGTTTGTATGTCAGTCCTTGAGTTAATCTCCTACCTAAGGTAACTAGTGGACACATTGCCAGTCATTACTTATTCCCCGGCATACCTGGAATTTAAGGTGCTACTTTGCTCTCATCTTGAAGGAGCTTCTTCTGACTTCAAGGAACGACATAACATAAGATTGAAATGTATAGTCAAGGCAGTGAATTCAGATCCAATTCCCAATATCTGAAATTTTTAATGGTCAGGAAACTCAAAGAAAAATTCATTCATTGAAGTGAAGGTTGTTGTATATAACGCATTAGAAGAATATAGCATAGTACTTAATATGGCAAAACAATATCAGGGGATATTTGTTGACAGGGTAAAGTGGTTTGTGAGTCCATGGGTGTCTCTGTATCTTTTAAAAACTGTCATAGAAAAACATAGGTTGCGTTCAGGAGGAAGTAGGATCTCTTCTGAGACAGATATGGTGCTGTTGAGCATTTCATGAAATGCACATCTCACTAACTTGTGAAAACCCCTCTGTTATAGAGTGCTTTCTTAACATCTTTATTACACTGAGTTACCAGGTACAGCAACTTAGAATGGGAGAAATTGATCATAGCCCACAATTCCAGGTACTAGTACCATTTTTAGGAAATCGAGGTAGGAACTCAGCTAATGATATCACACCCACAGCCAAGAGCAGAGATAAACAAATGTACCCATGCTGCCTGTTTGCTTATGCTTATGCTCTAGCTTCTTCATAGAACACAGTACAGGTTGCAGACAATGAAATCATTCTGTCCATTTTAGAGACTCTAAACTCAATTAACAATTAATAAAAACCCACAGAGACCTGCTCAAAGTAAATCTGATCTATACAATTCCTCATTGAGGGTCCTTCTTTCCAGATGATTAGTTTGATTCAGTCTGATAATAAAAATTAAGAATCGCTGGGTGGTGGTGGTGCATGCCTTTAATCCCAGCACTCCGGAGGCAGATGAATGTGGATCCCTGTGAGTTCAAGGCCAGCCTGGTCTCCAAAGTGAGTTCCAGGAAAGGCCCCACATCTATACAGAGAAATCATGTCTCAAAACTAAGAATCACACTGCCCCAGCACCACTGCCAGGCTTTGAGGAGATTTCTGCCTGCATTCAGAGTTGTGGTCCTCAACCTGTGTGGGTCACCACCCCATTGGGGTCTAATATCAGATATCCTGCACATCAAATATTTGAATTATGATTCATAACAGTAGCAAAATTAGGGCTGGAGAGATGGCTCAGAGGTTAAAAGCACTGCTTGCTCTTCCAAAGATCTTGAGTTCAATTCCCAGCAAACACATGGTGGCTCACACCAATCTGTAATGAGATCTCGAGCCCTCTTCTGGCATGAAGGGATATGTGCAGACAGAATTCTGTATACATAATAAATAAATAAATCTAAAAAAACAGTAGCAAAATAAAAGTTAAGAAGCGATGAAACAGCTATGTTTAGGGCTCACCACAACAGGAGGAACTACTGTTCGTGCTATTTAAAGAAATAAAGGGTCAGAGAATTGGAAAAAAGTAAGAACCATTGATCTAGAGTGTCCAGTGGAACCTGAGTGTCTATGTTGCTATCTATGAAGGGGCTTGCAAAGGATTTGCTTGAATATTCTTTGCTCTAAGGGAAACTCATATTCTATGTGGAAGACTCCAGCTATATGGCCACCTTTACTACCCTGTAAGAGCAGACTACTTTGAGCTACTCAACAGAGAGTATAACACCCACTACACACATACTGGTGAAACAGATTTTAGTCATACTGGGATCCATGACCATATCACGCTCCTATGGGTACTTTTTACTAGACTGTGTCAGCTTCTTTCTCTAGCATTACTCTGCCTAGCTTTTTCCTGTAGACTCTCTACCAGGAAGTTCTTTAACAGGTGTTCTCCTTAGTTAGCATTAAGTCTAAAATATCTTGTGGCTAAGGAGATAAGGAGATGTAGGTATTTTTATTAATTTTACATCTTTTTTGAATTCCTTTGTTTTCTATTTCATTTTCAATTATTAAGAAATTTTCTACTCACCCCACATAATATCCACAGACCCCTTTCCACCCTCTATCCATGCCCAGCTCTCTCTCCCAAGCCACTCCACATCCCAACATACCCCAAATTGAGCTCTCCCATGGGGGTCAGTAGAGCCCACCACTGTGAGCCTAGGCATGTACAAACCCCTCCCTGCTAAACCAAGGCTGTTTAAGGTGTCACTCCACAGGAACCAGGTTCCAGAATCCTGCCCAAAGACCAGGGACAGATTCTGATCCCCTGCCTGGGTGGCCCCAAAACAGTTCGAGCCAAACTACCATCTTCTGTATTCAGAGGACCTTGTCCAGGCCCATCAGGACTCCACAGCCACCAGTCTACAGTTCATGGGCTTCTATTAGTGTGGCCGGTCATCTCAGATGCAGGTACTTATGATGAACTTTAGCATATATGAATTTCTATGATATTATTACCTTGTGTACATAACATTTCAGTAGGAGCTAAACATTCACTTCCACACCTGGAAAGAACTAATGGATGTCTTATCAAACGGGGAGAGATCTCTGGCTTTGGATGAAGGGGATGCTGAAGGGCTTCCCTTGCATCCCAGAAGAGGATCCCGCAAAGGTCAACTTGACTTCTAGTGTATGGTGAGGAAACCACATTAGCAGGAAATCAATGTCTATTCCCATGACATCTGCAGCTGTTCCCTGGACATTCTATTGTATCCTGGAGAACCCTGGCATCCTCTGTGATGTCACCGATGTTGTGGCAACACTACCTGCCCTTGGGAATTTTATTCAGTGCCTTCACCATTTACTGATGAACATGATGGCATACTGAAGAGTCTAATTCAGAAAGAGAATGGAGAGGGTAGAAAACCAAAGAGTGACAGAAGAAAGCTGACCTTCAGCCTCAATGTAAAACATCAAGGAAGAAATGGTCAAGAGAATGATGTAATGAGTTCTGTGCAGAAAAATGGAAGCTTCCTTGAGGAAGTGGGCTTGAGCTGAATCTTCCAGTAATGGGTCACAGAAAGCTGGAGTCACTGGGAACCAACAGAACTTCCCTGCTTGTCATGGCTCTAGAAATTCAAGAATTCCAGGATATTAATTGTTCTGGCTCAGAGTTCAGGAACTGGTAAGGCCAATGCTTTCTTCTGGGAACTCTTGACTTTCATCCCTTTTGGAGGATAGGCATTGATGAGTGAACATGAGACCAACATTAAAGTGGGAGGGATAAATGAGGTGTGCCCATTTCAAGGCAGGACATCACTGTACTTCAACCATACCGGCTAACTTTAGGTACTTCCCATCTGTTCTGTGTGTCCTGAGTTGTCGTTGAGGTGACTTGTTGAGTCTGGTGACCACATTCTGCCCTTATATATCTTCTCCATCGATAGTTATATGGTTAGTGAACTGTCAAGGTATGTGGGGGAAGTCTAAATGACTGGGGTAATTGTGAACTATAGCAATTTTCTCCTAACTCTTAAACCCTCAGGCTTGTGGGCTCTGTAGCCAAGTTGAATTCTGAGTCTTCACCTGTGAATAAGCCTGAAGAGGCTATCCCCTTGGTTACTTGGAGCATGTCCTATGAGGGCAGAGGGAACCAAATAGCTCAAATAACCACTTCCCTTCAGAGAGGAGACAGTTGTTTTCCCCAGAGGGGGCATCAGAAGCATGGTACAAAATAATTTGGAGTGTCAAGTAGTCATTGGTAAACAAGCTTTCTCAAACATTTGATTATGACTCAGGGTGGTCTGCCCATCCTCTTTGCCTTGTCATACTTCAAGTTAATTTGTGTTCATTTACACACAAGGAGCATCAGGGAGCCTCCATCCTTCAAACCTTCCTCACCAAGATGCAGGTGAAGCAGAAGGTGCAGAGGCTGACCAGTCAGCTGCAGCGAATAACCATTGAAAGAAATTAGCAGTGAGATTGCCTGATCTTTATCACAGAAGAGAGCATGAAAAATAGGTATTTTTTGTTTTAAACCCTGTGGTTTCAATCTTAGGTCCACTCTGTCATCATTAATTCATTTTATACAAGGTTTGTGTTTCTGGTAGACTATCTTCAGGGTATGCCTTTGTGCAAAATGTGTCTCTGAACTCCTGCCAAAGGCAAAACCTCAAATGTGGACAGGAATGACATGAGGATAAAGACTATTATGCTTCCTCTAAAAAGAAACAAAAACAAAGCCTGTGGCATGAGTCATACTACTCATGCAATGAGGTAGTAATATGTGAGTTCCCAGAATGCATTTGAAGAGATTCTATCAACTGCTGGCTAGTGTGAGAGGTTAGTTGATGTGAGTTTGAGTGAATTTTTTTTGTTACTTGCTTGAAAAGGCCTTGTGTGTTTGATTCTCCAAGCAGCAGTTGGAGAGGCCTAGTCACACATCTAAATGTGTGGATATGTGGACTGAGACTGATTCCTGTTCCTTTTGTTCCTCTCTCAGAGGAGACACCTGCATGCATTTGTTCAGCATCCAATAAATAGAGTTCTGCCACTCTCACTCAGTCTTTCTTTCTCTGTCTCTCTAAATATCTCTTTCTCTGTATCTTGGTCTCTCACACACATGTGTATGAGTTATGTATTTTTTTGATGTGTTTGTGCTTGTATGTCACAATAGTCCCTGCAATCAGGGATCTGTGGTTGGGCATGAGCAGTTCCCTATCTCACAGTTCCCAGGTGATACCTTGGTGAAAATTGGGAGCACCACTTTGAGCATTATATTTGTGCCAGTGTACTTATTTGAATGACACATAGATATACCCTTGGGGAGATTATAAATCTCTCATGATGTTTAGTCCCATTCTCAAAACTGTTCATGTTATTTTCGTCTCCATTTTCTCAAGTACGATTATGGAGAATTTGTTTTTGAATACAGGAGAAACATCTTCACAGATTCTGGACGGTACACATCTGTGGATTAGACACTAAGTAAATTCTTAGATAGCTATTTCAGCAAACCTCCTGAGAGAGCTCGTGGGGCTCCACCTCCCATCATAATCAGCCTGCTTCTGCTGGCTTAGGTTCAGAATAGCTGTAAGTAAATTGTATGCAACTCTGTGGGTTTGGTCCCGGGTTTTGGCACCAACAATGTAAGTAAATTTACTGCAACAACTCTGGGGAAAGATGTCCTGACTAACTTGGGAGTCAGGCAACACCTTGAGCTGCTTAGGGCAGCGCTGATGGCTGGGACTGCAAGGAGACAGTTCAGGCCTGGAGGGAGAGGAATCCTGGACACATCAAGCTGCTCACAACAACCCTGTCCTGAAGGTGTTTCAGGGACCTGGAGCTGTTTAGCACTTGTCTGACAGCTGGACTGCAAAAAAGTAGCCCATCCCTGGAAGAGAAATATTTCTGACTTCCTGGAAATTTCAGGACTGGAACTGATGGGGGATGATCTCTCCTCAGGATATAGCAATCCTGCTCCCTCTTCAGGGATCTTCGTAGGGGAGCTCTGCTTCTCTGGCCTAAGATAATGCTTCTTTTGCTTCACTCTGCAAAAGGGAAAACTCCTGCAGAAATGTAGCAGTGTCTTCCAGCTCTGGAAAAAACTGTTACTTTTTAGCTCTTTAGTGCTCTGTCCACTAAGTGATGTCTCAGCAAAGATCTTCTGTCCAGCTCCTCCTTACTCTGTTCTTTCAGCTATTTCTACTATTTGTCCACTGAGGGAAGTCTCAACAAGGATCTTCTCTATGCCAGTGAATGAAGAGTTCACATGCAAAACTCTTTACAGAAAGAGATTTATTTGGGAAGGTGGAGGCCAGGAGAGTAGCTGCCTCTATCAGGGTGGAGAAAAAAGCCTTTTTTCTAACTGACCATGGAGGGCAGATTACTCAAGATGTTTTTGGGATGGAGTCAACCAGTGTTTGACTTCATGCCCAGGCTTCTACTGTCCTGCTCTGTGATTGGTTGTTTTCACAAGTCAGTTGGCCAGGGGCAGATATGGCTCTGATCTGACTGAGGCAAACTGTGTTTCTTTCTGCCCTGATCTGAGTCTTCTTTCCCTAGTCTTCTTTCCCTTTGGGCTCCAGGTTCAGGATGGGTGTCTTTAGCCAACCCCCTTTCCCTACAATAGCAAGTTTAATAAATACCAGAAGTTCCCAGTACTTAGGAAACAGGATGTGGCACCCCTGACATCCAGTAGTCTAGATTACACCTTCAATATCTGTGATACTAGAGGCCTACATTCACGGAGTTTTTTAAACTATGTCTAAGACCTACCACCCGCCAAATCCTTTCTATGAAAAGCTCAAGATGGAACATAAGCAGGTCATGTCACATATGCAGAGCTTAAAGAATGAGAACACCAAGGCCTCAGAGAAATGAAATAATCCAGCCAGGGAGTCAGTCTTCCCTTGTTTAATGCCTGTCATTCAGGGCACCAATACATTTTTCAGTGGCCATCTCTGGCTTTCCTTGTTGCTGTACTGCAGAGTCTGAAGCTCTGGCTCCAGCTTTTCTTCCTCTTAGCAAGCTTCCTTAGCAAGTAGTGCTTTGACTTATGCTCCTCATTCTCAGCTTTCCTAATAATGAAAGAGACTGTTTGCTACTCCAAACCCCAAAATGTCATACTTAACAACCTGCAGAACTACTATTTTTAACCTTCCTAATGCCATGACCGTTGAAAAACAATTCCTTGCGTTGTGACAGTCCACCATAAAATTATTTTTCTTTTTGCTTCATAACTGTAATTATTATTGTGATCAATCATAGTGTAAATGACTTTTATGCAGGGTGTCTGAGATTTCTCCCCTGAGGAACTCATTCCATCACCAAATGAGTCATTAGACTTAGAAGTCCAGTGTGCCTCATGAGATGGGTATCATGCAGTGTCTTGGGTAGGGGTCTATTGTCATAGGCTTGTTACACCACTTGTGTCTCCTATCCTCACTCAGAGGGGATTTGTCCTCTACTTGCTGATGTTTCCTCATTTTCATGGTCAGAGAAGGGCAGATGGGGAATTTGTTTTCTTACTACAGGTTCTTGGATTTCTTTTGTTGTTGGAGTATTCAGAAATAGTATGATTCTTTGTGGAATTCCCATTTCTCCACTTTTGGCCAAGAGGAAATGGTCAGAGAACCTCAGACACAGAAAACACAGGTAAGAATAAGCAGCTGAGTCAAGGTTATGTCCAGCACTATTTCCTCCTGTAATATTAGGCTGTTTAACTTTGACCCACTTGTGTTTAATTCATCCCTTTACTAATATGCACACCCCCCAACACACATTGTTCAGTGTTTTATTTTCTAGTCTCCATGTGTTTGTATGTTTTCTATAGTTTATTTTTGTTCTATTTTGTATTTTTTATGCTGTGATCTTATAAAAATGAAAGTTATTTCAATTACCTTGTTTTGAGAAGATTTGCTTTGCATACAACCATTTTGAATAGTAATTGCTCAGGCTGATGATAAAAATGAATTCTGCTACTGTTCCATGGAAAGTTCTGTAAATGTTAAATCAGTCCATTTATTTGTATATTGGTTGTTCATTGCTTTGCTTTTGTTTTGATAACTGATATAATCATGTACTAAAATCCCCCAAAATACTGGTGAGTTCTATATGATATCTCATGTTTTGTAGTGGGTGCTTTATAAAATTGGTAATGTCAATGTCACAAGAACATGTGT